AACAGTGCATGAGGGTTCCCTTTACGCCACATCCCCATACTTAAGACTGCAACATGAATCTGTTGTTTACTGATTTCCTGATGATCGCCATTCTGACAGGTGTGAAGTGATATCTCATTGTGGTTTTGATTTGCATCTCTCGGATGATCAGTGATGTTGAGCAACTTTCCATATGTCTATTGGCCACCTGTATGTCTTCCTTGGAGAAGCGTCTTTAGTGTCTATTCAGGCCTTCTGCCCACTTTCCAATTGAGTTGTTTGTTTTTCTGGGGTTGAGTTGTCTGAGTTCTTTATACATTTTGAATATCAACCCCTTATCAGATGTATCACAGACGAATATCTTCTCCCATTCAGGGGACTGTCCTTTTTTTTTGGTTGGTTTCCTTTGCTGTTCTGCTGGGTCCTGATTGCCTTTGACTCATAATGATCCACGCCCCAAAGTAGCACATTTCATCATGATGAAGACTGCTTTGAACCCCTCGGCGTACAGGATAGCTAAGGAAAAGCGCTCTGGCTTTGTGTGGTGTTGCTGGCACACACCCTGGCCCTCTCCCCATACTTAGGACTGCAACGTGAATCTAGGAGGGGAGATGGAGGCACGGACGGACGCCTTGCTGCACTGAGTCCAGGCTTCCCTCGAACCCAAGACTATGCTCCCTGCTCCTGGTGGGGAGTTCTTTCTCAAGAAGCAAACGGACCCTAGCAGGACTTGCCACTCCAGGAAGCCAGACCCCTGCCTCAGAGGTTTTGAAAGTTTCACTCATAACAAATAAACGTCTCCCTTTCTTGTACACACCCACAGGTGGGCACACACACTTCATTCACAACTGGACACTGAACTTTTAACTCTTCCTGCTCTGAGATCCAGGGTTGCTGTGGCCTTTGGATGTTTGCTAGAAGAACAAATGAATGAGATACTCAATCAGCAACGTGTGGAAACAGAAGCCTCCTCATTTGAGAGCTTCCAAGCAGGATCTAGAAGCCCTGAAGAACCAAGGGCCCCACCATGGCAGCCTCTGTTTCTGAGTTCAAACTCCCATAGTCCACGTCCCCCAATGCCAAAGTCCCAGAGCAGGGAACCTGCTGACCAGCTGCTGTTGGGCTGAGTCACCCAGAACATGGGAGGCTCATTCTGCACACCAGCCAAGGTGGACGGGAGCTTCCACAGGCACAGCCTGTGTCAGGAGGGCGCCCATCCTCATGTTAGAGCCCACCGAAGCTGCTTGTGTTTGTGCTTCTGGAAGCTGTGACTCCATTCCTGTGGGTTTCTGGGTTTTTAAATTTTTATTTATTTTTTATTTTTTCCATCACCTTTTATACCCCATATACCTTCTTCCTCCTCTCCTCTCCCTCCCCCGGTTCTGCAGGTTTTGATGAGTTTCTATATTGTCCCTCTGACATGAACAAGTCACATTTCCATCTGATCTTTTTTTTTTTCTTCGTTTTTTTGTTTTGTTTCTGATAATCCTCACCCAAGGATAACTTTCCATTGATCTTTTAGAGAGAGTGGAAGAGAGAAAGACAGAGAGAAACATCGATGTGAGAGAAACACAGCGATCAGTTGCCTCCTGCACGCGCCCCAACCAAGGCGGGGCTGGTGAGGAGCCTGCAACCAAGATACATGCCCTTGACCGGAATAGAACCTGGGACCCGCTGGTCCACAGGGTGATGCTCTATCCACCGAGTCAAACCAGCTAGGGCTCCATCTGATCTTTAAAGGTGATGCCAGTACCTTTGTTAAGTCACTTGAAGTGATGTCGAGAAAATGCATCACGATGAAGACTGAAATCACTAGAAGGATGGGATTGTGGGAGAATCCTAGTTAAAATACAGTGGTAGCCATCTTCATAATGTGCCATGTGTATACAGATGTGTGTGCTTAAATCCCCGAACTTGTGTATTTAAGAATCTAAAACTGAGAACTTGCTGGTGTCGACCTTTCTGACATTTGCTAAGGGATGAGATTCATGGTGATATTAGGGTTTAGAAGTCTATCAATTGGAGCGAGAGACATCTGTACGCCTGCGGTGAACTCCCGGGAAAGAGCAGGCCATGTTCCTGTCAGCGGAGACCACTCTCAGAGCGGGGTGGAATCACTCCTGAAAGACTTCACACTTGTCCAGAGAGGAGTGTTAATCATCCCCTGGCACTCAGAGGCCACCCTCCCATTCTAATACCTCCAGGGAACCTTGGTTTCTTTACTAAGACACTTCATCTCACAGAAAGGGGCCCCCCGGTCAAGGCTGGGGAGCCCTGGGGAATGCCGGGCTTGGTCTAGTGATAAATTAGGGAATACAGTGTAGGGGCTCTTCCCTCTCTAATTCTCCTTCTATGACCTTCCATGAGCTCCTGTGCTTCTCTCATTTCTTATCACTGTTCCCGAGGAGTCTTCTTCCACCCTCTCCTTTTTTCAGTCTATTCTTCTTTCTCAATGATCTTGCCTGCTACAGGGTTCCAACTACCTATAAAACTGTGGCTCCGGAATTGATATCTCTAGCCCAGCTTTCACTTGAGTTTCAGACCCACTTATCCACAGACTACTCCACGCTTCTACCTTAAAGTTGTCATGCACGTCTCAAGTTCAGCATGTCCTCCAAACTCATTCTTCTTCCTGTGTATCTTACCCCAGTCAATGGCACCATGACTCTGCCACGCTAGAAACCTAGGAGTCATTACTCCCTCCCTCTATCCTTGTGCTATTTGTTAAATTCTGTTTAATTCATTAATTTGGTCATTTGGTGAATAAATCTGAAGCCCTTAATATGTACCAGGCAGGGTGGTAGGTAACTAATGATGAGGGAAAAAAGACAAGGTTCCCTGGCCAGGTAGCTCAGTTGGTTAGAGAGTCATCCCAATATGCCAAGTTTGTAGGGTTTGATCCCTGGTCAGGGTACATACAAGAATCAACCAATGAATATGTAAATATATAGAACAAAAATCTGATCTCTCTCTTTCTCTCCCTCCCTCCCTCCTTCCACCCTTCTCTCTGTCTCAAATCAATTTTTTAAAAAATTAAAATAAAAAGACAAGTTCCCTGCCTTTATATTTGGGGAAACAGACAAATGATGGTGCAAAAGAAATATGCAAAGCCATGAGAGTTTAGTTTGGGGAAGGAAAATTTAAGAGAAGATCAAAAGAATTCCTTGGGAGTTAACTAGATCAAGGACATGGTGTGGGAGTTCAATTTCTAAACAGGCGGGTCAGAATGCCCACAGTCCTAAATGAGATGGACTGAGTGAGACTTCAAGAAGCCTAATGAATTACAGGAATAATGATGGGAGGGGAGACTGGAGAGGAAGGTTAGAGGCCCTATTGTTCAGCACCTTAAAAGGATTTGGGCCCTTCTTCTATAAGGACAGGAAAGGCACTGGGAACTTTTTTGGAAGTGGGGTTAAGGAATGACCGATTTATATATGAAAGTCACTCTAGCTGAATGGATTGGATGTGGCCTGAGTGGATGTGGGGAAGGTGATCCCATTGGCTTCCTTCTTGCCATCCCTATAGCAGGGACCCCCAGTCCAGACTTTGGCTGTCTCTTGCCTTCTAGCAGAAGTCACCACTACTGTTATCCCCTTTTAATGTACCTTCAGTGTGGCTCTCAGACCCACCTTTCAACTTCTCGCAACAACAAAGAAAATCAGTGATTCTTCATTGTGTTCAAAATAAAGTCCAAACCTTTGGCTGGCCCACAAGTCACTTCAAGCCTGGCCCGTCTCCTTCTCCAGTGTCACATCCAACTACTTGTCCTCAAGTACCCTGGGTCTTAGTCTATAAAACGGGGATTTGAGAGCTGGATAGCAGTTTGGGGGGAAGGCCCAAGTCCTTGAGCCAAGGCTGAGGCTGAGCCTGAGGTCCAGTGTGTTGAGCCCGTTGGGAGCACGGGAGACCTCCCCAAAGTAGGGGCTTCAGGCAGTTGGCTTCGAGCAGCGTGAGGCATGGCCACAAGAGTATCAAGGAATCACTCAGGGCCGAGGCAATGGAGACTTGGACACAAGGTCAGAGGGGTAGTTGCTGGGCAGTGGTGACCGAGGACAGGACCCTAAGCCTTGAGAGATGGACACTTTGGAGCAGGACCCAGACCACTGGAGAACTGATGTCACAGCATGGCCAGGACTCCAGCTCTTAAAGGAAGGGCGGGACTCAGCCCTGGCTGGATGACTCAGCTGGCGGGAGTGACGTCCTGCCCTGTACACTGAAGCGTCGCCGCTTTAATTCCCGGTCAGGGCACATACCCAGGTTTCGGGTTTGATCCCTGGTCAGGGTGCATTTGGAGGCAACTGATCAATGTTTCTCTCTCACATCAATTTTTTCTCTCTCTCCCTTCCTCTATCTCTAAAGTAAATAAAAATATATCCTTGGGTGAGGATAAAAAAAAGAGGGGGGGCAGGATTCAGAGACTGGGGGCTCAGAAGGTCAAGGACAAAGACTGACTTGAGGATGACTTTGTAAGGAGAACCATGGGAACGTTCTTTATATTCTACATATGAGGAGAGCAGGAGCCAGAATGAATCCCAGAGTGTAAGGGGCAAGGCTAAGCGTGAGGTCAAGGCTGGGCAGCTAGAATGTAGAGAAAGGAGCCGGGCAGCTCCTTCCACCACCCACACGAAGATCTTCACAGCTTCAGCCAGTCCGCAGGGCACCCGCGCACAAGTCAAGGACATTAAAGTTTAGCCCCATGGACCCCAAAGAGCTGTGAGTGCTTGGGGGACCCATCCCACTTCAAGATGAATGAGATTTCGACATTAGTATGGTTCTGAGAGTAGCTTTATAACCCTGAGGAGGGCCTCTGGAGACCATGTCTGTGTACGGTTCTCATGGCAACCAAGGGACTATGACATCCTTCAGGGGTGGTGAGGTCACAGAACACAAGCTTTAAAGTAAGTGAAGCATGTGCGCCTGATTTATTTTTAAAAGAAACTTCTGAGAAGAGCTTAGAACAATTTTTTCCCCCCGAGTGCCATTTCCCAACGGTACTCACAGAACAATAAGGTGTGACTGTAATGGCTGCACTGAGTTGTCTTTTGGACAGTGTTAGAAGGGACATAAAGAAGGTGGACAGAGAACTGAGGCAATTGAGATGCATCGACGAGCTCAGCACACGATGCCTGTGTGACTTGTATATGCACCCGTACTGCTGTTGTGACTTGCACCCTTACCCGTACTGCCTGTGCTATTCGAAGCGCTCCCGAGCCTGCGGCCTGTGCGATCTCTACTACCCTTGTTGCCTGTGTGACTTCAAGCTTTACTGTCTCCGACCATCCCTCAGAAGTTTGGAGAGGAAAGCCATTAGAGCCATAGAAGATGAAAAGAGAGAGCTTGCCAAGTAAAGGAACTTTTTTAAAGATTTTTATAGTTGGTATAATTAGCCTTATAAGTTAGAGTAAGGGGGTGGGGTGCGGGGGGGGTGGGGGGTGGACAATCGATACTTGAACAAAGAGGAAGAGGATTCAGGTTAAGGCCTCTGGTGGTTAGCAAAGATTTAAGAAAAGAAGAGGAAAAGGGTCTGTGATGGGGGTTAGAAGATTCTCAAAAGACAGTGTAATGATGTCAATTGGCAGGATTGTTGTTGGTTTATAGCAGGAGTGCCAACATGATAAATAATATGGCTTTAAGGAGGGAGAGAAGCAGGAGGTGTCATTAAAAAGCTATTGCAAGCAGTGAACCACACATTTTTTCTGGTTATGAATACAGTGATTTGAGTATATTTGGACTTACAGAAATGACTCCAGGAGAAGTAATAATAATTGATCAAATCCTTAATGTCTGCCAGAGGCTTTAAGAGCAAATTGAACAATAGAGGCATTTTCTGGGTGATGTCGGAAAACCTTTCTCTCATCCCCCAACTTCAGATAAAGACTTAAAATTCATCTGGAGTTGGCTTCTATTATGTTGGCCCCTCCGACTCTACTAAAAGTCGTGCAAATAAACTACAGAACTGAGCGTCTCTGCTTTCAGAACAGAGCTGAAAAGGCTTAATTAATCGAATTGGGTAATTTTAAAAGTCATTTAAAATGTTTTCCGTTTCATTACATTTTTTTGTTTTTGGTCTGGAGAAGCTTTCCTTTTCTCACTTTCCACATATGCTGTTTAGTCTTTTACAATTATTGAAAAAACTGCTTGAAAGCCCAGTCCCCTGGTGAAATACATTCTGGCCCATCCATACATTGAAAGGATAATGTAGATGTAAAAAGGATTGATGAAGCATTTTAGGTATTGTTGTATTAAGTGAAAAAAGCAAGGTACCAAAAAAAAACCTATTTAATATGCTATTTTTTAAGGATGTGCGCAAATAGATATTTTTGTTGAACTATACTTGACATATACCACTGTGTAAATTTAAGGTGTACAACATGTTAATTTGTTACATTCGTATAATGTAATATGACTGCCATTGTAGCGATAATTAGCACCTCTATAATCATATAACGTAATTATCATTTCTTTTTAGTGGTTGAAATAATTAAGTTCTAGTCCCTTAGCAAGTTTGATGGTTATAATACAATATTCTTGTCTATATTTCTATACTGTGCTAATGTTAGATCACTAGAACTTATTTACTACTCATTGCAAGTTTGTATCTTTAAACAGCATTGTCCCATCCTGATGATTAATTGAGAGAAAGAGAGAGAGAGAGAGAGAGAGAGAGAGAGAGAGAGAAAGAGAGAGAGAGGAGATGGGGAGACAGAGAGTGAGTGGGACCCTTGACAACAGTGACAGTGATGTTTCACTGGAAAGGGTAACAAGGCAATTATTGTTCATGTCATCAGTCACCAAAGGCCAAGAACAAACCTGCCTTAATAGTGGAGGAGGGGGTTACTGCCTATAAACTCATCTACACTCAACTTGAACCACTTTTTAGTTTTACTCCTTAGAGTGCCAAGTTACAAGAAGTATGCACGTTGAGCCAGGGGTTCTTTTGTAATACTTGGTCTGTGTCCGCTCTCCCTCTCCCTTTGAACACTTGATGACCTTGGATTCACGTCCTTTCAGCCCATGTCCCCTGGCTGTCCCTCCTCTCCAGGCACTCCCTGGGAGAAAGCCTCTGTTCTTTATCCTCTTTATCCTGGAGGCACCCTCCGCCTCCAGGAGGCCCTACTTCTTGAATTAGACCTCAAGCTTAATTCTCAGCAGAGAGGTCTGTACACAAGGTAACACTTTCAATGGTTTGTGATACCTTCCCTGACAATGTCTGGATTTTTGCTCACTTTTTCTGTGCCTGTGGCAGTACAGGAAGCTGGTGAGGTCTTTACATTGATTCCCAGATCTCTAAACCGGTAGATCCATTTTACAAGTGACCTCAGACTTGCCGTCTTGTGTCTCCTCGTAGCCACTTCCCTTCCAGCACATGCACACCCTCCTACGCTCTATTTCTGACAGCTCAGCATTTCACTATCCTAAATATTCCACTTTTCCTGAATATGGATGAAAATTTCAAGCTCTGGCCCCAATCCCAGAGGACTCTCCCTGTTCATATTTTTTCTTCCAGTGAAATGCCTCTTTTTTGCTTACATCTCAGCTAACGCCCAATCCGTGACTAAACAGATCCAGAAATATTAGCTTGGTTCAATTTTTTTAAAAAACAATTTTCAGTGTGAAACATTGTCCGAGGCTTGTTGAGTTTAGCAATCATATTCATGACCTTTTGCTCCTTTAAAAAAAAAAAAACAACAACACGCTAGCTGTTTGGTTAGGTAGGATGTGTCCTGTCAGATGCCATGCTGTGCTGTCCAGAAGGTTCTTTGCCAACCCAGAAAGTAAAGTTCCGTGGTCTGCGGCTGCCACGGCCTCACCGGCATAGAGTTTCTGTGCGGGAGTCCGTCTGCTCTGCTGCTTCTTCACCAACTGATGGGACGAGTTTGCTGACAGTTGAATTGCACCCCGAGTTTCTTGAGCATCCCTGTGTGTATCTACGCGATGGATGCGTGTGCCTGCGTACTTGTGTGCATGTGGGTAGACACTGGGGCTGGAAGGCCGATCATTCCCAAGTAAGTACTCTGGTTTCTTTAGCTTCTTGATGTTCTCTTTCCCACCAAATTAAAGCCTGCACAGCAAGCACACGCCGGCGGCTCTCCTGACCCTTCCTTCCTCTTCTGGACGCACAAGGACTGAAGTAACGGAATTGGATTTCCTTTGTAAGAAGCTGTGCCACCAACCCGACTTGGTTTGCACCTCAGTCAGCGCCTCCCTTTGTGGGCTCTCCGTGCTCTGTACTCACGTGGGAGACACAAACAAGAGCCAGCTGCCACGCTCCCCTGCCCTTCGGGGTTTGGCACCTAATTAAGGAAGCCCTGCAGCTGCCCTGCTCCTGGCAGAAGTCTTCATGGACAAAGGAACCTCAACTTGCAGCCACACCCCGGGGGGCCGGTGCCCCCACCCCTGCAGCCTTGGAAACTGACACCTGGAAACTGGTCCTGAGGTTGCACGTCGCCCCACTCACCACTGTGGTCGGCCTGAGTCTCAGTGAAAAATTCCCTCGAAGATCCCCACACAAGGGGCACCCGTCTTCTGTGAACCTCACACATCTGCCTTCTCATTTCTTTCCTGGTTCGCCCCTTCACACTCTGAGAACGGGGTGTTCACGGAATCACTCTTACTCTCGAGGCTGATGAAGGCCAGCCCTCATGGTGGCTTCTTTGCCGGGTAAGCAGGGCCTGGCCCGGTTCTGAGCCCTCGGGGAAACCTTTCCATCCCCCACCCGCACCCCGTTCCTTGACTCAGAAGCTATGGCCTCGCTAAAGGGGGGAACCCTGGCGAGTGAAAGACTGGCTTCCCTCTGTGGGAAGGGAGGAATCTCAGTCTCCTCATACCCACAGGTCTCGGAGCCCAGTCACCCCGGAGGGCAGGAGTAGGAGCTGCTGCCCATCTAGGCCAAGTGCATGTCTGCTATTCCATTTGGCCTTGTTTAATGATACAGGACGGGGGGTTGGGGCACTTAAAACCTCAGGTTTGGGGAAAGCCTGAATAAGGTGGAGCCTGACAGACTTACCCTTTAAGAGTGAAACTGTCCCTCGACCTTCCGCTTCGTTTCATCCTTGTACCACCGTGGCCATCTTACAATCATCAAACAGACAATGCAGCCATGTCCTCGGTCACCAGGAGGTGGGAGATCCGGGACTTGAAGCCAGGCTTGCCTCGTCTGGTCAGTGCTTCTCAAAGAGCGGTCTCTGGGCCAGCAGCGGGAGCACCACCTGGAACTTGTTAGAAATGCAAATTCTCAGCTCCTCTGGCAGGCGTGCTGAGTCAGAACTCTGGGGGTGGGGCCGAGCCACCTGTTTCCACCAGCTCTGTGGGGGGTGCACCTGCATCGGGGATGCTGCTCCTGCCATGGCATCGTTTTTCAGTATCAACCAAAATCTGGAGAAGAGAGAGAAGGCCGGAAAAGAAGGGAAGAGGGAGAAGAAAGAAGAGAAGGGAAAAAGCATGTTGGAAAAGAGGGATCTAATTTACTAGGTCCTAAAAGGCTCTAAATTAGGAGAAAAAGCCAAGTACCTCAAGGACCACTAGAGAAAGGCCTACTTCCCTTGGCTCTTGGGTAAAGTGAGACCGAAACCCGGGGAATGTGCCCTTGACTGCAATCGGGACCCTTCAGTCCGCAAGCGACGGATGCTCTATCCACTGAGCCAAACCAGCTAGGGCAAGAGGCCTTTCTGACATCTTTCTTACTGTATTCATCACCAGGCTGCATCGCGGTTATATCTTTGTGAAGATGGCTGGCTATGTAGCTCATCATTGCAGTGGGCCGTGTGGGTCACCTTCAGGCGCTTGGTTGTACGTTCAGGTGAAATTCAGACTCAGTAGGGAGAAGAGGTGGCAGACACAGACACTGGCCGTCCACTCGCTTTACCCCAGCTTTCCAAGAGGCTTCCGCAACAAACCAAAGGGGCCAGTTTCCTGTTTCCTGTGGCTAAGCTCCGTCATGACAAGTACAGGAGGCAGTCCCCACGGAGCCACGGACGATCCCAAGTGGGATGATGAGTCCACCTCTAGGCAGGAGTCAAGTTGCACGTTGAGAGTTGAGTCTGATGAGTAAAATGCGGCTCTGGCACTTTCTCCCAAACCCACACATCCTCGCGTTAGCCTCTGACCCAGGAACAAAAGGAAGAAAAACCTGGCCGTGCCAAGACTTCCTGGCAACTTTCTGAAGATCCACTTTGGAGAGACTCCCGTGCAGCTGCTGCAGGGACAAAGGAGACAGAGTGATGGGAACAGAGAAGAGGGGGATCCTAAGCAATAAAATACATGAAATTGTCCCCGAAGATGCAGGTTGCTAAGAGGAGGAGATGGACCTTGGAGGCTGCTGTGGCTTGTAGATCTGGCTCCCAGATCCACCTCCTGCACAGGGCCTGGGGCAGCGGTGAAATGAGTCGTGGCAGTAGCCAGGCCTAGCAGTCCTGCTTGGGGTCCCTGGCCATTCTTTGTGAGGCCCAGCCCGGCCTGCATGGCGGGCTTTGATGTTTTGGATGTTTCTTATCTCCACCTGGAAGGTCTGAGCTGAACAGAAGAGCTTGGCTCTCAGTCCACACACACCCAGGGAGATTCTTGGAGACCTGGGGCACCCGTCTGCTCTGTGCTCCACTCTTGGCTCCGGCTGTTGGGGCTTCAGGCCTGTGCTCCATCCACGGAGGCATGGAGCCCCTTTGTGTGCTGCTCTCTGCCCATCCAGACAGAGGGAATGCTTTTTCTCCTGTTGTTCTCACAGGGTCACGTACAGATTTCAGGGCCAGTCCAATTCTCTTCCTTTCCTCTTAGTATGGCCTATGGGTACCCTGGCACACCTGGGCCCCATAACACCCCCAGGGGTGGAAATGGAGCCGAATGACTGTCCCAGTCCTCTGGGTGCCTTGCCTAAGATTTCTGTCAGCCTCAACATCTTCTATTAGACCATTGTGGAATCAGCCAGTAAGAACCCTGGTTTATAACTGTCAGTACAAGGGCTCACATTGTTAAACCAATCATGATAGGGCTTATCAAGAGAAAAATGCAGATTCGAAGCCATATGTATACCATGATTTCATAATAGCACACACAAAACTATATATCTATGTAGAAATAGATACACACACACACACACACACACACAAACACACACACACACACAGAGTCTAACCCCAAAATGTTAAATGTTATATAGGCTTATGGGTATTTTAAAAAAATATACACCATCTTTTTGCTTATCTGTATTTCCTGAGTTTCCTGCAATGAACTTGCCTAACTTATGTAACAAAAAGAAGCATATAAAATAAAATTCAGCATAAAAAGTAAGAATTAAAAATGTACCTCAAACCAATAGCCCAATCATTGAGCCCAGATGCCTCAAACTGGAAGAAGTTCTAGGAACCCCACACACCAAGGCCTTCCTTTGGAGACAGAGATGCAAGAGTTGCCAGGAGTCTCTCTTAGAACACAGATTGTCTTCATGTTAAGGGATAAAAGACCATTTCAGAGCACTGAGTTGTCTTGGGAAGGATTGGGCATTTAGAAAATGGAGCGCGACAGGCCAGAGTCTGAGAGCTCATAACCTTGCCATTAATAGGCCTGCATATGAATCCCAACTCTGCCATTCACTGCTGTTCCCTTCTCCTCATCTGTAAAACGGTGATAATTACATCTGCAATATAGGGTTATTGTGAAGATAAAACAATGCCTTTACCAGGTTAGCACTTTCTATGGCACATTGTGGGGGCGGGGGGGTGGGGGGGAAGACAAAACCCAACATCTTCATCAATTGCCAAGCACTATTATAAATACTTTTTATTCATTCACTAATTTAAGCTTCACAACAACTCCAGAAGTAGGTCCCAGAGTTACAGATGCGGAAACTGAGGCACAGAGATTCAGTAACTTGTCCACGGTGGCAGAGCCAAGATTTGGACCTACACGGGTTGCAGGACTTGTGCTGTTATGCACTTCACTTGACCACCTCCTGACGTATCATAAGTGATTGATTCGTGTGAGCTGTTGTTATTGATGTTTTATTATTCAGGATTTATGCACCGGACTGAGGAGCAGCAACAAGGCCGCTCTACATAACCCATGGAGATCTGCTCCAAGGGCCACCAGCAGGGGTACCTACCCATCAGCTTGGTGGTGGGAAGAGAAAAACCTTGATGCGTAGTGTTTGCCAATGTCCATGGTGTAAAGGTGCTCACCATGCTATATTTCAAGCTGCCAGCATGAAGTCACTAGATGAGGAGGTGGTAGGATCCAGCACACAGCCCCCTGCAAGGGGACTTCCTTGCTGGGGCCAGCCATCCAGAGCCTGGAGCAGCCGCAGGCAGGAGGAGACGAGGCAGGGCCTGGCATCCAGCCTTGTCATTTGTTGTTGGGGTGTTGAGGCTGAGTCTGTGTGATGGCCCCGTGGTGGCACCAGTCCCGTGAATAAGCAGGGCTGAATTCTAAGGCTGACAGCCATCATTTTAAACGGTATCTTATTAGTTGGATCCTGTTAAGAAAAAAACATAATAGTAATAATAACAATGATCATGGTAATAATTAAGCAGGGTGTATAATGTGCCGAGTACAATTTTAGGCAAAATACATCATTTCACTGAACCAATACTATGATGTAGGTACTGTTACTATTTTCATTTTACAGATGAGGAAACTGAGGCACAGAGCAGGCAAGGAACCTGCCCAAGTTTCTGTAACTGATCAAAGGAGGAGCTGGGATTTAAATACAAAAGAAATATCTGGAAGGCCACGCCTCTCACTGTTGTTAGCAGAGGTTTACCTGTGGGGCGTGTCCTTTACATGGGAGGCCTTTTGTGGTTCACTTTATACACTTCTGTAAAATGTGGTTTTTCCATACTGATGGGTGTTTACTTTTGCTATTAAAAAAAGAGAGAGAGATCAACATATTGCTTCTCAAGCTGAGTTCTGAGATTTTCCTCTCGCCCTTTCCATGTGCCCCACCGCAGACTGAGAAGAACAACGAACAGGATTCTGGCCTCCTCTTGCTGTAGCAGTAACATTTTAGGATCGGTGAACGTGTGCGGCTTTGAACCCGACCAAGTGAAGGTGCGCGTGAAGGATGGAAAGGTGTGTGTGTCGGCGGAGCGGGAGAACAGGTATGACTGCCTGGGCTCGAAGAAGTACAGCTACATGAATATCTGCAAGGAGTTCAGCCTGCCCCCGTGCGTGGACGAGAAGGACGTGACCTACTCCTACGGGCTGGGCAGCTGCGTCAAGATCGAGTCTCCGTGCTACCCCTGCACGTCTCCCTGCAGCCCCTGCAACCCCTGCAACCCCTGCAACCCTTGCAGCCCCTGTAACCCCTGCAACCCCTGTAACCCCTGCAACCCCTGCAACCCCTGCAGCCCCTGCAGCCCCTGCGACCCTTGCAACCCCTGCTACCCCTGCGGCAGCCGGTTCTCCTGTAGGAAGATGATTCTGTGACGCGTAGGAAGCCATGATGTAGTTAGGTAGTTACTCCAGCCAGGCAGCTCTTCCAGTGTTTTCCTTCCCCTTCCTAGGCCCCTGTTACTCCAGTACATAGGGAACTGAATACATAGGTGCAACGCGCTGGTGTCGTGTGCAAGTCTTTCGGTCCCACCCAGGCCGGAGCCCTGCCCAGCAAGAGGGCCTGGGAGGAATTCATGGGTGGGAATGGGAGAGAGAGATCTGCCCTCCTGCGTCCTCCCCAACACCCAACTGCTGCCAGGTTCCAGGAACAGATGCTCTTGGTGGGCAAACCCAGACACTGGGTGTCCAAATGGTGCCGTGAAATGGCCAAGCCCCGCTACCTCACCGTGAAAGCAGGCGGCAGGCGCAGGCGAGGGTGAGGCAGGTGCTTTTGGGAAGCTGCTGCAGTGGGGAGCACTGGAGAGAGAGGGACGCCCCAGGCAAACTGCGGTCGGCCTTCTTACTGGGCAACAATCGGAGGAGAAATGCATGTCCATGGACCAAGGGGTGGGGCGGCCATGCAGCTTGTCGTTTCTTTCAACTTGCCCAGGGCCTGGGGGCATGGCCGCCTCCGGTTCAGGGTGGTTTGCAACATCCTCAGGTGGATTTATTTCAACTCTCCGTTTGGCTCAGTCCCTGGACCTCCTTTCTAGGCGCCGAAGCCCAGTTCGGAGTTCCGGAGTGGAACGTCCAGCTTCCACAAAATGACGGTGCTGTTCACCTGAACCGGGGTCTTCAGGAGCTGGCCCGGGAGCCACTCTTGATGCCAGGACAGAACTAAGTGGAGAGGAGGAAGGAGATGATGGGGGCGGGGGAGGCCAGGGTGAGGGCACAGGCCGGCTTCAGGCCTGGCTCTTAAAGGGAACGTTAACCCTTGCGTTTGCACAGTTCGTCTTTCCATTAATCCAGCGGTTCTCAACCTGTGGGTCGCGACCCCTCTGGCGGTCGAACGACCCTTTCACAGGGGTCGCCTAAGACCATCCTGCATATCAGATATTTACATGACGATTCATCACAGTAGCAACATGACAGTTATGAGGTAGCAACGAAAATAATGTTATGGTTGGATCACAACATGAGGAACTGTATTTAAAGGGCCAGAAGGTTGAGAACCGCTGCATTTAATCTCAGCTGCATGTGGGTTAGAGCAGTGGTGCAGCCTTGGCTGCAGGTGAAAGTCACTTGGGGAGTTTAAAAATAAGGATGCCAGGCCATAAAGGAAAAAAAAAAAAAAAAAGAAAAAACCCTTAAAAAGAAAAAAATGTTTTAAAACAGAAAAAGGAAAAATACCGATGCCTGGGTCCCATCTCCGGAGATGCTGATGTAATAGAGTTGAAGTGCACCCTGGGCCCCAACACTTTTAAAAGCCTCCCCCAGGTGATTCACACATGCCCCTGAGGTCGAGAAACTGCGCGGGGTCTTAAAGCTCTCCTCGCCCTTTTTCTTTAAAAGCTTCCTTCAAGTTCAAGGGTAAAGAATATTGATGGTGATGGCAGACATATTTTGCTTTCATTCGAGGGAAGTAATGGACCTCTAGCATACATAGGTGGTGAATAAAAACACTGAACATTTCAGAAAACGATCACCTAGCAACCAGGCATAAATGACTATGCTTGGGTGTACCAAATCCTAGAATTACCCGTGTAAGTGTCTTGCCGCGTTTTGATTCCACGTTCATAAATCTCCCAGTTTCTAAGTTACAGACGTTTGAAAATGCTTTTGACAGCATTTCACCCTGTGGACTAAATGGCATCCCACTGGGGTCTT